ATTACAAGCATGAGCCACCGTGCCCAGCCATGTTCTGCTTCTAAAGAATGACTTCATTTGTACACCTCCACATAGTGATATGGCCTATGCAGCTGCCATGATTAATATTTGTGTCCTTCACAGATCTCCACAGCAGTCACAGAGAGAGCAGCCCAGGAGACAAATGAAGCTGTCTGGTTCTTAGGTGGGTCATACATTCTTCTGGGGGGCTATCTTAGTCCATTTGTGCTGCTATGAGATACCATAAACCGGGTAACTTATAAACAACAGACATTCCTTTCTCACAGTTGTGGAGGCTGGGAAGTCCAAGATCAAGGCACTGGCAGATTCGGTGTTTGGGGAGGGGTGGCTTTCTTTCTCATTAGGTGGCATCTTCTCCCTCTGTCCTCATATAGCAGGAGAGGCAAGGAAGCTCTCTGGGACTCCCTTTGTAAGTGCATGAATTCCATTCCTAACCTCCCAAATACCCTACCTCCTAATACCATCACACTGGTGACTGGGTTTCAACACATGAGGTTGGGGGGACACAAACATTCAGACCATAGCAGGGGCCATCATTATTATTACTCCAGGCCAGGCCGGAGTGCAGTTGCGCCATCTTGGCTCACCGCCATCGCCGCCTCCCGGGTTCAAGGGATTATCCCACTTCAGCCTCCTAAGTAGCTGGGATTACAGGTGTGTGCCACCATGCCTGGTTAACTTTTGTATCTTTTGTAGAGACGGGTTTCACCATGTTGGCCAGAATGGTCTCGAACTCCTGCCCTCAAGTGATCCACCTGCCTCAGCTCCCCAAACTGCTGGGATTACAGGTTTGAGCCACCCTGCCCAGCCCATAGGCCATTACTTTTCTCCATTGGAGCTGTTGGCACCAGTTTCCACTCTGCTGTTTGAGGACAGTTTCCATCTGTAAACCAACAGCAACTGATCTGTAGCAGCTGCCTGGAATCCTGTGCGGATAAGAGCTGTGAGGTCAAGTTCGGGTTCAGCAGGAGGGCACCCTGATTTAGCACAGGTGTCTGCAATAGTTAAATTCCCTGCAGTGCTCCTCTTAACTGTGAAGAGATGATGTTAAGTGACTCCAGGGCAGTGCTAGGATCCCAATGAACATAACCCGATCACTACCCGTGTTTCTGAGACAGCTCTCTCCTTTCACCAATACTGTATGTATATGGTTATGGTATATTGACAAGCACATATGTTTATGGGCATGGTCATTGCGTTTTGGATTTGCACCCTAACCCAGGCATTCATTTATTTAATAGTTTAACAATGCCAAAGAGTTGAGCACCTTTATTGCATTATGGTCCAGAAATGGAATGTGTAAAATTTTTGTCCTTTTATATTTACTAAGTCTACATTTTTTTTGTTTTCAGAATATGATTGAAGATATTTCTAACTCTTTGCAAGTCTATTAGCTCAGTTTTTAAAAAATTATGTTACTATTTTGGGTATACATATAGCTCAGTTATGTTTTCAGTTTCATGTGTTTTTTTGTTTTTTTTTTTAACCATTTCTGGCCTTCTCTTCTTACACTTTTCCTTCCATACCCTGTGTTCTAGATTCTATGATCTAATATCTGTTCGCCAGTTAAGACTGCTTTCAGCCCTAGAGACCAGAAAATCTACCAGACAAGAGTATGAACAAGCAAGGGAAGGAGATGAGGCTGAAGAGGCAGGCATGGGCCAGTGTGTAAGCTTTTATTCCACCGCAGCGAGAAGCCAGTGGTAGGGTGTAAACGGGGATGCAGATGTACATCATGTTTTCCATGTTTTTAGAGATCACTCTGGATGCCGAGTGGAGTATGGACTGTGGGAGGGCAAGAGAGGCAGGAGGGAGAAGGCCTGGAGGCAGACTTGGGCAGCAGGCCAGCGAGTGATGAAGGTGACTGAAACTGACTATAGAAATGCAGACAGCAAGAACAGGCTGCAATCAGGGTGCCCACTGCAGGCTGAACCACAGGACTTGCTGTGGGATTGCATGGCGGGTGAGAAGGGAAGAAGAGAGTCAGGGGTGAGTCCTTGTGCTGGAGTCATCTGGGTGCTCCACTCAGGAAAGAAGCTCCACATCTAGGGGTTATCAGCAGGCAGACAGGAGGACTTAGAGCTGAGAGACTCTGTGGGGTCGCTCTGAGAAGAGTGCATCTTGCATCGCTAATACATTTTTCAGCTGATATTTATATAGATAAAATTTATTTTGCATCTTCAAAATATGCAAATTTTAAACTACAACCAGTGCTCGACTTACGACCACGATTGGTTCCGACGGACCCGTCGTAACATGATTTGGTCGTAAGTTGAATAGGCTATATGCACACGGAGATGGTAGTGCTGCCAGAAGCTGGTCCGCACTGTCGTACGCCCAGCTGGGCAACGTTTGCACTGCCAGACACGGAGTAGTCATGGCTAGCGATTGTGGTCGTAAAGTCGAATGGTCGTAAGTTGCATGGGTCGTAAGTCAATCAATACCTGTAAATGGTTTGCTGGAAAAGCTTCATGGTGCTCCCAAATACAAGGCAGACCATCAGGATCATGCCAGTCACTTTGCGGAGTTCTGGAATGTGGACAAAGGAGAGGTACATGTGTGATGTTTCAGTCTTGGGGCACTGCTACCGCACACAAAGCAACTGTCTGGTGACAGCCACATTAAATGTGAGGTGACCAAGAAGCAATGCTTTAAGCCTTTCACATCTTAACATGTTATTCGTAGCTGTTATTCATAAAATATCTAACTGCCATATTGTAATCTTGGAAATTGGTAAGGTGTTTCCGATTAACTTGCCATGCCTTATAATTCTGTTTAAAATAATGGGAAACGGGTTCTTTTTAGGTTTTCTTCTTGGAAAAAAAATGTGACATTTCAGTCATAGATTACTTTTTTGTTTGTTTGTTTGAGACAGAGTCTCACTCTGTCTCCCAGCCTGGAAGTACAGTGGCACATCTCGGCTCACTGCAACCTCTGCCTTCCCGGTTCAAGTGATTCTTCTGCCTCAGCCTCCTGAGTAGCTGAGATTACAGGTGTGCACCAACATGTCTGGCTAATTTTTGTATTTTTAGTGGAGATGGGGTTTCTCCAGGTTGGTCAGGCTGGTCTTGAACTCCTGACCTCAGGTGATCCCCATGCCTTGGCTTCCCAAAGTGCTGAGACTACAGGCATGAGCCATGGGCACTTGGCCAGTGTTTTTTGTTTTTATTTTTTTGTGTTTGAGATGGAGTCTCACTCTTGTTGCCAGGTGGAGTGCAGTGGCGCTATCTTGGCTCACTCCAACCTCCACCTCCTGGGTTCAAGTGATTCTCTGCCTCAGCCTCCTGAGCTGGGACTATAGGCGTACACCACCATGCCCAGCTAATCTTTTTATTTTTAGTAGAGACAGGGTTTCACCATGTTGGCCAGGATGGTCTCAATCTCTTGACTTTGTGATCCGCCTGTCTCAGCCTCCCAAAGTGCTGGGATCACAGACATGATCCACTGCACCTGGCCAGATTACTGATGTTTTTAATGGCAGATGACTTTCCAGCCTTGTCTTAGTTTTTTATTTTTATTTTTATTTTTTGAGATGGGGTTTCATTATATTGCCCAGGCTGGTCTTGAACTCCTGACCTCAAGTGATTCTCCCACTCAGTCTCCCAAAGTTCTGGTATTACAGGCATGAGCCACTGTGACTGGCTTAGTTTTAAATTCTTATTTACCTTGTAAACAACTTAATTCCATTTCTTCCACCTCACACAAAAAAACTGATGCTCCAGGAAGATGTATCACCAATATTCTGCTGTTTTGTATCCTGCCCGTGCAGAAATGGGGCTGTGCCTTCTCTAGTTTGAGAAGCATGTAGTAACATACTTGATTTTGCCTGAGTCAGTAACGTATGGCATACTAGGGGCCGCAGTCTCTTAATGACTCCAAGCCCGTGGCAGTAAAACTAAATGGAAAAATGACTTAGGAGAATTATCGCCATAACCCCCAGAAGCAACACACTATTAAAAGTGGGTCTGAAGGGCTATTAAAAAGGGAAATCAATACTAGTTTCAAAAGAGGCAAAATTGTGCTTCACCTTCCCGTACAAACTTCCTTAATGTTTTGGAAAGGATCAATGCAAACTTTTAGTCCTGCTGGCCTGTGTTAAGGATTGTCAAGAAGTCCCCAATGGGTATCAGGGTCCTGTGAACCAAACAGTGTGAGGTGTCAGAAAAGCAGCGGGGTGTGACCCCCTCAAAGCAGCTTAGGCGGTCACTTAACTGTGCAGCTACATTTCTTGACCATATAATAAAGGAACTGGGCCTTTCCATGTGATGTTTTCCTTTTATAACGGTGGCAGGAAGCGGTCCCTCTGAGGGGCCTGACCGAGGTAAGCGCCAGCGCCAGGCCAGGGTCCCAGGGGCGCTCCAAGGCGGGGCCCATAGAAAGGGTTTAGCAGCTCGGAGGGATGGCGGGAACGGAGGAAAGGTGGCGTTGAAAAGGCAAGAGTCAGGTTCCCAGCGATGGATTTCCACTTGAGGCAGTGAATTTGCAGTTTCAGACATCCACCAGGGAGCCCCTGCGTGGGTTCCTAAGAAGTGTAAGAACTGTTTAGAAATCCGGCACCGACAGCCCCACTCCACGGCCACCAGGGGCGCACAGTAGCAGGTGGGCGGCCCGAGGGAAAGGGCGGGGCTGGACGGGGCGGGGCAGGGGCGGGGCGTGCCCCCACCCGCGGAGGCTGGGAGGACCAGGAACTCGGGAGAGCATGGCCACGCTGCGCCGGCTCCGGGAGGTGCCGCGGCACTTACTGGTTTGCGAGAAATCCAACTTCGGCAACCACAAGTCGCGCCACCGGCATATCATTCAGACGCACTATTATAACTACAGGGTGAGTCCGATTGTCCTCGGCTTTTCGGGCTGTGCTTGGTCCCCGCGTGCGAGAGAGGTTTTGGGAGAGTGTTAGCGCGCGGCGGAGAGTGCGCGGAGGGGGGCGGGACCCCGCCAGGCATGCTGGGAGTTGTAGTTTCTTAACCTCTCCAGGCCCGTGGCTTGAAGGGCTGCAGGACTACAACTCCGAGGATGGGCAGGGCGTGGGGTTGGCACCCAGTCCTAGAGGGAGCTGTTGGCAGGAGTGTCGGGGCCGCTCACTTGTGTCTTCCCTCGAAACGGGGAGTGAGTCCAGGGAGGGATTGGAGGTTCAGGGCCGAGACTAGGTTGTTAGGGCGCTGTGACGACTGCGATGTGCGGCTGCGGGCAGGCACGTGCACCTCGCTTTTTCCCAGTATAAGGGCGGGACTCGCGCCTACTCCCCACCACCGCCTCCCTCCCCGGCTTCAATCCCTCTTCCACCGGTTTACCTGTGGATCTCTCCAGAGCATCCTGCCTAGGCCTGGCCCAGGAAGTGACCTGCTTTTCTAAATTGGTTGCGGAAACTAATTTGATGTCCGAAAAACTTCAAGAAACCAACCTTACAATGGGGGATTAAACCTTTTTTCACTTTAAATTGTTCGGCTTAATAACTCAGACTTGACTGAGCAGTGTCTCAGAGATATTAAGAGATGACCTAATCAGTCAGAACAGGCTGGTGTTTGAGTCTTGGGACAGTGATGACTTTTACAATGTGGCAACATTTGAAGCCTGTCCTGTTTTTAACACCTGTTTTGAATGAAAATCTCATCACAGCTGTCAGGGATGTATACCTTAACTCACCTGTTGCATTTTTCTGTCTCGAGAATGGAAACATACAGGTGCACCATTGCTTGCATATAGACTCTTAATAATTGGATGTTCATAAATTCCTTATCCCCCGACAGATAGTTCCTTTCATTCCAGGGTAGCACCAGGGTAAACAAATCAAGGGATATTTAATTATACTGTATTTCCTTGAAAGTAAAATAGTGCAAAGAACAGGACATAAAATATACAGCATTGCTAATTTGCAAAAGAAAATGCAAGAAAGAGTTTTCCATTAAAAGTTTTCTGTTCAATCCCTTTCTAGTACTGTACGTTTGAATGCAAAAATTAAAAACTTGGGTAGTCAGATTTCTCTTTGCCTGAGATAGATAAGTTAGCGTAAGAGTTTTGTTGCCTGTATTTATATGTTCCAGTGAAACTGGTGGAGAAATAACAACTTTCATGATCTTATTTCATTCCTAAAAACCTGGGTGTTCATCTTCATAGAAGTAAGACCTTGTTTGTATTACACATTCCGATAGGTTTCGTTTCTCATTCCTGAATGTGGGATACTATCGGAAGAACTGAAAAACCTGGTCATGCAAACTGGACCCTATTACTTTGTGAAGAATTTACCTCTTCATGAATTAATTACACACGAATTCATCAGTACCTTTATAAAGAAAGGTAAGAAAAACCTGAAATGTCTGTGAACACAGCAAGATGAGGAAGTACAGGGAGACCGCATCACAATGCTAGGGCTGTTCAAGTTTTGAACAGGGCCTGTGGGAGAGGCTTTGGGGTCAGCTGCACACACGCTCCCCTCCACCATGCTTATCCTGTTCTTTCTTATGCCCTCTTTAGGTGGTGGTTTCTGATTGCAATTGCCCACGAGTGTTGGATGGGAATGTTGTAACACGAGGGTATCCATCCCCTTAGAATGAGGATTAATGGAGAGGAGAGACTTGCAATCTGTGTTTGATGCACTGCTGTTGATGTGGCAGCGAAGACACTATGCTGTCAGCAGTCCCACAGCAGCTGTCTCAGGGGGTGGGTCTCCAGATGCAGCCACAGCTGCTGTTCACAGAGCCAAGTAGTGGTTGGGGTCCAGTGTCTTCTGCATAGATTTTGTAGCCATAATCCCCCTCTGCTCACCCCATTTCTGCCCATAATCTGCTGGGTTGGACTGGTTTGTTTCAGTTGTTTCCTGGGAGCCGTTTGTTTGTAACTACTTTAGAGGATCTTTAGGGATTCCACCCACACTACATAAGGTGACAACCTGTACAGTGGCCACATGCTGACCTTGTGGTGGCCCCCAAGTGTGTTCTCTCCAGGGAAGATATGAAGAAGTCTAGTTACCAGTAGCTCCTCTCATTCTGACATTGCTGGGCTGTTTATGAGCTGCGCATCTTGTCTGGTCTCATCAGCGTTACTCCTTTCATCTATTTTGATACCACTCTGTGAATAACATGGAAACTGGCGGTAGCGGGCACTGTTAAATATCTTACTGAACTTAACCCTTGCAACAACTTTATGCCTATGATCCTCACTTAACAGGTGAGGAAACTGAGTCTTGGAGAGGTTGAGTAGCTTTTGAATCTTCACCTGGAACTCTGCCTCTAACATGTGTATGTTTATCTAGAATTCTACTTTGTACCCCTCACTCCGCATCCCCAAGGGTCACACTCCATTCTGAGTCAATAGTAAACTTACACAAATAGGCCCTTGGTCGGGGAGTGAACTAGCAGGAGCTTTGTCTTCTGTGTGCTTCAGCTTACCTTTAGCAGGTGTTGGGTTTATTGAGTGAGCTGGAGTGGCAGTAGAAACTGATCTTTAATTACCTGGAAGGCTCGTTACTCGTGAAAACAATCCACTAACATCTTGCAGGTGTAATTTCTTCTTTTAAATTTTTGCTCTGGATTTTCTCTTACAGGTTCTTGCTGTGCACTCACATACAATACAAATATTGATGAAGATAATGCTGTTGCCCTGCTACCAAATGGTAACACTTATTTTTTCATCTCTAATTATTAATAAAATGCATACTGTGAAAAAAAAATAGTTGGCCAGTCATGATGGTTCATTCCTGTAATACCTGCAGTTTGGGAGGCCGAGGCAGGCTGATTACCTGAGGTCAGGAGTTTGAGACCAGCCTGGCCAATATGATGAAACCCCATCTCTACTAAAAATACAAAAAGTTAGGTGGGCATGGTAATCCCATAATCCCAGCTACTTGGGAGGCTGAGGCAGGAGAATCACTTGAACCTGGAAAGCAGAGGTTGCAGTGAGCCAAAATTGCGCCATTGCACTCCAGCCTGGGCAAAATTCCATCACACACACACACACACACACACACACACACACAAATAGTCAAATCAGACAGATCTATAGAGAATAAAGCAGAGGTCTGCACTTTTATTTTCTTCCCTCCAAACTCACTCCCCTTCTTAGAATGACCCTTTGTTAACAGTTTGGTGTTTATTCTTCCAGACACTTTATGTGAGTTTATAAACACACATACAAGTTCTTTTTTTTTCCTTTTGAGATGGAGTCTTGCCCTGTCGCCAGGCTGGAGTGCAGTGGTGCGATCTCAGCTCACTGCAGCCTCCACCCCCTGGGTTCAAGCGATTATCCTGCCTCAGCCTCCTGAGTAGCTGGGATCACAGACATGTACCACCATGCCCAGCTAATTTTTAGTATAGAAGGGGGTTCACCATGTCAGCCAGGATGGTCTCGATCTCTTGACCTCGTGATCTACCCACCTTGGCCTCCCAAAGTGCTGAGATTACAGGCGTGAGCCACCGCATCCAGCCAAGGTCTTTTTTTTTTTTTTCTTTTTTTTTAACCTAAATTGTATCATGCTGCATTGTGTCTCAATGTGCTTTTTTCTGTCCCCAAGCTTCATATGATAGACATCATTCCCTATTAGTCCATATAGTTCCAACTTCCTGTTTTTAATGGCTTAAGATATTCAAGCCGGGCACGGTGGCTCACACCTGTAATCCCAGCACTTTGGGAGGCTGAAGTGGGTGGATCATTTGAGGTCAGAAGTTCGAGACCAGCCTGGCCAACATGGTGAAACCCTGCCTCTACTAAAAATACAAAAATTAGCCAGATGTGGTGACAGGTGCCTGTAGTCTCAGCTCCTCAGAGACTTGAATGTGTGTTTATAAAGAACTTGTATGTGTGTTTATAAACTCACATAAAGTGGCAGGAGAAAAGCTTGAACCCGGGAGGTGGAGGTTGCAGTTAGCTGAGATCACGCTACTATACTCCAACTTGGGTGACAGAGTGAGACTCTGTCTAAAAAAAAAAAAAAAAAATTTCAAAGAATGAGTATACCATGACTTGTTTATTTCATCTTAGTAGAAATTCAGATTATTTCTGATTTCACTATTATAAATAATATCCTTGGATATGTGTAAATAATATCTGTTACAAGACATGTATATATATAAACAATATTCTTGTGATATAAATAAGATCCTTGCATGCAGTTTGTTACATTGATATCTAACTGCTCAATTTGCCTTGGTTTCTTTTAGTCAGACAACATAAATCATATCTTTGTTATATCTTATGGGAGTTAATATTTCATTTATAGGGACATTAATTTTGTCATTGGATAAAGACACTTACGAAGAAACTGGACTTCAGGGTCGTCCATCTCAGTTTTCTGGCAGAAAAATTATGAAATTTAGTAAGTATCATGTGTGCTTCATCCGTTTCTAAAAAGTCTGTAATCTTCCTGTGGCAATTTTAATTTAAACGTTTGAATTGCTTCTAATCTCTTTGTCCAGAAAAATGTGACTTTTTAAAAATATCTGTCAAACTTCTGACTTGAGGTTCACACAGGATAGGATGATGATGCTTCTAAGTCCGTTTCTTATCAGCTGTAGACTTGTTTGGTAAAGATTGTAGAGTTGGCTTGGTCAATTAAATAGATATGTTTTGGGTTAAAAATTCAAAGTAGCGAATCCAAGATAGGAATCTACAAGTTCTACAACTTGTTCTTAATAAGGAATGTCCTTTGGTTTCCCCAGGTCTTTATGATTACTAGTAGAAAGTCACCCATGAGTGAAGAGATATTTTACTGCCAGTGTCTTGTCATAAACATCAGTAGTTAAGGCTGCCATATCCATAAGTAGATTAAACTTGACCTCTCAAGGTTCTCTGCCCTTGGTCTTTGACCTAGGAAATATATGAATTTAAAATGTCTGTTTTTATTAGCTCTCAAGGTTAGAAGTGCCCACTAAAGGGATCTTTCTTATTTGGCAAACCAAAGGGAGTACAAGAAACAGAAAATCATTTTTACTATCCATAAAACTTCCCAAGATTCTAATTTTTAAAAATGTACACTTTTTTCATGGTATAAGCTGTATGCATATGAATGAAATATATATTCCTTTTTTCATTTTTCAAGTTGTTTCCATTGATTTGATGGAATTATCTTTAAATTTGGATTCTAAGAAGTATGAAAGAATATCTTGGTCCTTCAAAGAAAAGAAGCCATTGAAATTTGATTTTCTTTTGGCTTGGCATAATACAGGTATGAAAAATAAGTTATGTAATGATACAGTGATTTTGAAATAATTGTTAACTAAAGAGGAGTAATGGAGGGTTGAATGGTGACTCTTATAGTCAAGGAATATTGCATATGTATATATAAAATATTACTAAGGAAACCACTTTAGCCCTTCTGACATCTCTGCAAGCCTTAGTTCAGGATAATCTAGGCATGCAAGCCTTCTGCTTCAGTCTCTTTGAATTATATGCAGATCCAGAGATCTTAAGAGTGGCTTCAGAGCAGCTAAATTTTATGTGTCTTCCCTTTCTTCTCTCCAGCTTACCTCAAACAGCCTTGGCTATATTTTTTTTAAAGTGTCACCAATTATAGTTATATATACAATCTGCTTATTCATTATCACAGGGTACTAACTCAGACCTATCATTAAATGTCAGACTGATTTGTTGTAACTTTTAATTGATTAGGACACTAAATTTAATTCGAAGTTTGCTATTCACCAAGCAGGGTAATCTGCCTAAAATTTGCATGTATGTTGTTCCTTTTAGAAGTATATCTTTGGCCCAGATAATAATGGATCAAGTAATCAGGAATTATGATGGGGTAGTACTCTCTTTTGGAGGATAGGAGGCATAGTGGTTTGTTTTAGAAATAAACCCATCTGTCTGCTCCTTGTGGAAAGTGTCTGGTCACTGGGTGCTCCCAGTTGCTTCCATGAGTCCTCGGTCTGGCCTTTGGTGCCTTCTATATATGGTAGATAGAAAAGAGGGCAGAAAGGCTTATTGAAGTTTTAATGCATGAAGTCTTTTATGTGCATCATCTAGGCATTGGGTTCTGGATAGCTCCCTGTTCCTAAAGCTCCTAACTACTTTAAGGATTTGTCAAAAACTGTAAAAGGTCTGAGATTTCCTCATACTTGCAGGCTAACAAGGTAGCCTGCCACACTCTCAGGGATGCTGGCAGAAGACACACAAGCCCTGGTTTAGAGGCACAGGACTTAATTCCTCAGAGGAATGGCAGTAGCCAGAATATATTAGTCAGGGTTCTCCAGAAAGGACAGGAAGGAAGGGAGAGGGAGAGGGGCAGGGTGACGGGAGGGAGGAGAGGGAGAGGGAGACGGAAGGGAGAGGGAGTTGGTTTATTAGGGGAATTGATCTTGCAATTATGGAGGCTGAGAAGTCTCATGACGGGCTGTCTGCAAGTAGAAATAATGCTTTACCAGCTATCTAGATGATCCTTTGTCCAGTCAGGTTGACACCTAAAATTAACCATCACACCGAATATCACCATTTGTACCAGCTCACCAAGTTCCATTTGCCGTAGAGTGACACCAAGTAATGCTGGCACATGCAGTAGGTTGCATTACAGGAGAGGAACCTGGAGTTCACAGAACTCAAATCCTTATAAGGGGCAGTAAGCCAGCTGATCTCTGCCAGGAGAGAGGGAGACAGTATTTCTGTTACACGGGAAAGTGAGCAAACCTGCCCTTTGCTGTGGAGGGAGTACTATCTGTCTTCCAAGGCCATTGACTACACAACCATCCCTGAAAAGATAGGCTGGATTTTACTGGGTTTTCAAAGTCAGGCTTGAATGAGGTTCCCTCATCATTGAGTTCCTCTTCTTTTCCTTTAATAGAGATTGTGCAGATAGGCTCCTTCTCTCTAGAGTTCACTAATATTCATACATCAGGAATGCTTTTGGTTTTAAGTGTGAAGTTGAAATTTTTTCATTAGCACCAACAGTGAAACTAGTTTGGATTTGATTAGAAACTATTGTGCTTTTCCAGGAAAAGTGTGAAAAAAGATGAACACTTAAAGAACTTGGGCAAAAGGAGCTGAAAGCAGCTTTAAATGATTTTGATTGGAATGCAGCTCCCAACAGCTTCCATCTTACTTCATCTTGCCGCTCTCAAATGGGAATGGGAGGGTTCAGGGAGTCACTAAACTTGCTTATGATATTCAAATGGATTCAAATGGCCTTGTGTGGTGTGTTTTTAAGGGTCAGAAGAGTCAACAATGATGTCATACTTTTCCAAGTACCAAATTCAGGAGCATCAGCCAAAAGTGGCACTGAGCACATTGAGAGATCTCCAGTGCCCAGTGCTGCAGAGCAGCGAGCTCGAGGGAACCCCGGACGTGTCCTGCCGGGCGCTGGAGCTCTTCGACTGGCTCGGTGCCGTCTTCAGTAATGTCGATCTGTGGGTATCTGAACTCCTGGCATCTTCTAGGGCTCTGGCCTGCAGCTTGTTTTTAATAGGAGTTGAATACTTTGGAAGTGATCATGTGATGGATATAAATGTGTTCTCTCTCTCTTTTTTGGTGACAGAAATAATGAGCCTAATAGTTTCATATCAACCTATTGCTGCCCTCAACCAAGCACAGTGGTGGCAAAAGCTTATTTGTGTACAATCACTGGCTTCATACTTCCAGAGAAGATCTGTCTCCTACTGGAACATCTCTGGTGAGAACTCTGCGTTTTATATTGCTCATCAGTGCTCTATAGAACAGTATGTAGAATAGTACTGATTTTTTTCATTTTGGGAAGTAACATACAAATAAAATGTACATTGAAAGGAAACTCAAATCCCCTATTGCAAAGACTGTACATTGAGTATAATCCTATTTAGTAAGCATGTCTCCTCAATCTCCCCTTTTAAAATGCCAGATTTAAGTCTTGAAGGTTTTCCTTTTTAAGCCCAACATCCTTTTCCACATTTATTGGTTTAGTACTTTGATTTTCTGCGATAAGAAGGCTGAATTTTAAATATCTGGTGGATTATCCTGAAATGTTTCCGTTAACTGAGACTCTGAGAACAGTACTCTTAATAGGAGGGAAACTGTCCTTAAACCCTGGTGGGCTTTTTTGTTTTGGGTTCTTTTCGTCTTAAAGACCTCCCAGAATGAGGGTGGGAAAAGCTGAGGTTTGTTTTGGGTGTTCTCTCTCAGTTGATCGTCATGGAATTCACAGTGTGGGATCAGGAATTTATCACACACCTCTTGACATTTATAAGTTAAAGCTGAGATCTAAGCTTTATTAGAATATCTGAAAGACTACTTATCATGAATAAATGTTTTAAAAATGCAGACATTCCTAACTCTTCCTAACAATTACGTTTTTTTCCAGTCACTACTATGATGAACCAAAATTGGCTCCGTGGGTTACATTGTCCGTTCAAGGCTTTGCAGACAGCCCTGTTTCTTGGGGAAAAAACGAACATGGTTTTCGAAAAGGAGGAGAACATTTATACAACTTCGTGATTTTTAATAATCAGGACTATTGGCTTCAGATGGCTGTTGGGGCAAATGATCACTGTCCACCCTAAAAAATACAAAATTAAAAACCATGTGTACTTTTGTTTATGCATGTTTTCAGATTTCTTAGTGGTAAAAGGTCTGTGTGTTCACTCAGGCTTGTGTGATGGTGGCATTTCTCAGGTCAGCATTTGCTAGCAGTCTGCACTGGGCTTGGGACCCATCTGTGATGGCAGCAGGGCCTGCTGTCCAGTGAATAGCTCATAATTGATTTCTCTCTGTCAACATAATCACAGGGTTGTGGGTTACTACTGGTAGACTGGGCCAGGGTGTCCAGGGTCCAGGGGGTATTAGACCATTGGGTGAGATGTATTTTGTTCATTACAACTTTTTCAGATAAGAGAAAGAAATCTCATCCTTACTAGGGCCAATTCCTGCTGTAAGTGCTGTTTATATATTATCACATTAGATTCTTACACCAACGCTTTGAGGAAACTGAGACAGTGTGTAAATATGCTACGGAGGTTACAGTGAGACTTGATCTCAGGCAAGCCTAGTTCCTAAGTGTGTTCTCATTTTAATGCCTCTGGATCAGAGGGATCAATGGATACTGTGAATTGTTACAGAACAGGTTGAAAGAATTTTATTTCCAGCAGTAAGGCTGATAAGGACCAGTTGAAAACAGCTAAAACTTTGGAATACATGTGAAGAACCATTTTTTTAATGTAAAAAATAAGAACTGCAAAATAAGAGTTCTTAAAGGAAAAAAAAAAAATTTTTTTTTTTTTTTTTTTTTTTTTGAGACGGAGTTTCGCTCTTGTTACCTAGGCTGGAGTGCAATGGCATGACCTTGGCTCACCACAACCTCCGCCTCCTGGGTTTGGGCAATTCTCCTGCCTCAGCCTCCTGAGTAGCTGGGATTACAGGCACACGCCACCATGCCCAGCTAATTTTTTGTATTTTTAGTAGAGATGGGGTTTCACCATGTTGACCAGGATGGTCTCAATCTCTTGACCTCGTGATCCACTTAAATGGAAGCAGAGACCCAAAGAAGTAATTGGAGTACTGATGCCACTTTTCACCCTTAGTGCATCTGCCAAATGTCAAACTGAATTTTTCTTCTCATAGCCTGAGGTGGGAAGGGGCAATAGAACAGCACACAAAGCTCAGGGCCTGCCCAAGACAGGAAAACTAAGAAGAGACCTCATAAAGTGAGACCCCAAAAGGATAGATGTAGTGTAAGGGTGAACTAGGAATAAATCCACCTGCTTCACCCATCCCCCCAACTCCTGTGAACAGCAGGGAAGATTTCTGTCTTGGGGGAAAACATCTTACTTGAGAGTCTGTATATAACCGCCGGCAGTTTTTAGGGTGGTTTGTTTGCACAACCTGGGTGGTCTTAAAAAATCTCAAGCTGGAAATTTCAAGTGAAAACAGGATTTTAGTGCCTTACGGGTAATTGGCAGAAGCAAAACAGATTGCCTTTGGAGGAAGTTGGAGAGTTTCAAGGAATATAATAGAAAAAAATTCACAAATGTAAAATAGACAGGAACCAGCAGAAACAAGGGGCAGAAGCAGACCCTGAAGTCATAGAAAGATTTAAGATGTTAAAAGGTAGCAAGCACGTTCATAAAGTATGCGTTATACTTACAGAAATAAGGGGGGTTAAATGGCACGATTATAAAAATGATGAAGCAGATTGTGAAAAGTACCAAACAAAGGTAGGAATGAAAAATATAATTGAAATTGCAAGTTCAACTGGTTGGCTTCACAGCAGACTAGATGCCACTGAAAATCGGATAATAGATATGAAGAAATTAAGATGTTTTCAAATTTGCAAAAGCTGAAAGACTGTCACCCACAGGTCTGCACTGCAAGAAAAGTTAAAGGATGTCCTTTGGGCAGAAGGAAAATGCCTGCCTTCTGAAGGAAATGAAGGGCACTGGAAATAGTAGCAACATGGGTAAATGTGGGATTTATTATTTAAACCTCATTAAAAGACAGTTGTTTAAATAAAAGTAATAGTGTGGGATTTATAATATATGTAAAAGTAAAATGGATGACCACAATAGCTTAAAGACTAGGAGAGGACAGTTGTGCTGTTGTAAAGTTCTTATACACAAAGGGATACGCCACCACTTTAAGATAGACTGGTAAGTTATAGGTGTGTGCTATAAACCCTAAAGCAGCGGCTACAATGACATACCAAAAAATCAGAGCTATTATCAAAAGATAAAATGGAATTATTTTTAAAACTTGATTAATCAAAAAGACAGAAAAAGAGGTAAAAGAGAATGAAGAATAGATAGGATGAATAGAAGACAAACAGCAAGATGAGAGACTCAACCATGTCAGTAATCACATTAAAGGTGAAGTGTAAACACCCCAATTAAAAGGCATAGATTTTCAGACTGGATTGAAAAAATATGACCCAAGTATATTCTGCCTATAAGAAAAGTACTTTAAATAGAAATATACAAATAGTTAAAGGATGGAAAAAAGATAGTGCTAACACTAGTTAAATGAAAATTGGAGTGGCAATATTAATCAAAATAGAGCAAAATATATTTCCCAGCGTATTAGTCCATTCTTACACTACTATAAAGAAATACCTGAGACTGGGTAGCTTATAAAGAAAAGTTTAATTGGCTCACGTTTCTGCAGGTCATGCAGGAAGCATGATACTTGGTGCTTGTAAGATGGCATCTGCTCGGCTTCCGGGGAGGCCTCAGGAAAACTCAATCATGGTGGAAGGTGAAAGAGAAGCATGGCCAGAACAGGGGGAAGGGATAGTCATAACGTCAAATTCTGACAAGTGTGCTGAAAACTTTATCTCCCATGTATTCCTGGTGGTAATATATAATTTCACAGCTATAAAAGGTTTTCCAGTTTACTTATAAAAGTAAACATGAAATCACCATATGATCCAGTAATTTCACTCTTTGGCATTTATCCCAGGGAAATGAATTTGTGTTCACACAAGCACCCATACTCAAATATTCATAGAAGCTTTATTTGTAATGTTCAAAACCCGGGGAAAAAAATATCCTTCAGTGTGTGAATGGTTAAGCAAGTTGTGATCCATGAAATACAGCTTAGCGATAAAAAGGAGCAAGTTATTAACACACCCTGTAAGTTGGAAAGATCTCAAGGGAATTATTTGGAGTGAAAAAAAGCCCAGACCAAAAAGTTGCTATTGTATGATTCCATTTATGTAACATTCTTGAGATGAAAAAGAATTATAGAAATGGAGATCAGATTAATGGTTGCCTGAGATTAGGGATGTTGGGGGTGAGGAGGGGTCGGTGCGGCTCTAACAGAGCAATAAGAAAGATCATCGTGGTGATGGAACTCTTCTATATCTTGACAGTGGTTGTCAGTACATGGACCTACATATGAAATAAAACTGCCCAGAACACCCACCCCTCCACCACCACTACCACCACCACACACACACACACACACACACACACACACACACACACACACACACATACACAGAAGTAAAACTATGGAAATCTGAATCAGGTCTGTGGATTCTACCAAGTCAATTTCCTAGTTTTGACAATGTGCTACAGTTATATGAAATGTTACCAATGGAGTATAAAAATGTTACACGGGATCTTTCTGTGTTATATCCACCACTTTCTCTGAATCTATAATTGTTTCAAAATAAAAATAAAGCAAAAAATTAAAATTTAAAATACGTGCTTTTTAGAAATGCCTGTAGATAAGACAAAACTATGCAAAAAAGAAACAAGGAAAAGGTAAACACAAATTTGGGAAAGAGAAAGGGGATGAGAGGAGTTCTCTATCCCAAACTGTTGTCCTGTCTCAAACTTCCTTGTAGAATGAATGATTCCTAGGGATTTATTACAGTATTCAAATAAATAAGTGGCTATGCACGGGACCAATGATGAAACTGGGTCAAAATCAATGCTTGTGGTTATGCCAACCCTGTGCACTGAGCCTGGAGGAAGTCTACAGGGGGCGGAAGGGAATGGGAGTGGAGTGGATGTCTTCAGTAGAAGGAATTAGTCCTGGATTTCCTGAGGATGAAAAGCAACTGGGAGCACAGCAACAAACAAAACAGAAAGAAGGCAGGCAGCACTCAGAACGTGCCAAAGAGGCCGCCGCATGGACTGCCTTTTGCACCTTGGCTCAGGCTGGTCTCACCCTGAAAAAGACAGGCAGCCAGGGGCTGGCCCAGAGGACAGCGGGGCAGGGTGCAGGGCTGGGCTCTGTGGTGGCCAGCTCTACTGCCCTCCCTCTGCTGGGAAGGAGTTGTGGGCCAGCCCGTGGGAAGGAATGCCTAGACTGGTTGAAGAGGGCTGTGGTGGTGCAGGATGTGGAGGGCACACGTGGTGGGCTTCCAAAAACCTAGGATCGGTCCTCAGGACTCTACCTCTATGTCTCCTTTATGTCCCAACCCCAGCCATTGGCCATCCTCCTGCGCTAGCTGGGGCAACCTCCTTCAGTAATGTTGATGGCAAAATTTTGTATTATATTCTTATTTTTAGCAAAGCTACTTGGTATATGACTTGTTTAGCATCACAATACCTGCCAAATGGGTATCTCCCCTGGGCCAAGGTGCCCTCTTTGCCCATCTGTTATGGACTGAATGTCTCTGTCCCCCGAAAATTCATATGCTGAAGCCCTAATCCCAATTTGAAGGTCTTAGCAGGTGGGGACTTTGGGAGGTGGTTGGGCTTAGATGAGGTCGTGAGGGTGGAGCCCCCACGGTGGGATTAGCATCCTCACAAGAAGAGGATGAGACCACAGCTCTCTTGGGCATGTGAGGATACAGCAAGGACATAGCCACAGAGAAGCCAGGAAGGGGCCCTCACTAGGACCCCAGTCATGCTGGTGCCCAGTTTTAGGGACTTCCCAGCCTCCAGAACTGTGAGAAATCGGTTTCTGTTGTTTAAGCCATGCAGTCTACGTTATTTGGTTGCGGCAGGCTGAGCTAAGCCCCATCTCTAGCAGTCACATTCAGAGGGAACACGATATCCCTCCGGGGTGTCTACAGCCTTCCCCCTCCACTAAGCACTCAGCCACGCCCATTCTTACTGCCAAGAGGTTTTTCCCCCTTTCTTCATTA